TTCATCTAGAGGACGGCAACTCTGCCTGTGACGGGGGGGGCTGGAACCTGATGATCTTTCTTAGATCCCTTTGATCCAAGCCATCTGTGATTTTATGTTACGTTGCATTGAAGAAATGCAAAACATTGTTAACTCACCTAATGATTAAAAACTATGTAATGCATGCAGTAGCAGCTGGAAAATGCATCTAATACATACTAATACATCTTCAGACTACAGTTTGCATTCTGGGAACAAATCCACATTCAAAATCACCTTCAGTTTGGATTTTTCTGCCTCATCCGTCCCACAGCAAAAGTAGCAATGTAAAGAACAATACTACTGTAAAATAAATAAAGCAAAACAAACCCAAACCACTTGCATTCTGTTCCTTTGAAGTCTGAAGAACTAAAATAAGACTTCTCCCAAGTGGCACAGTAGGAACTGTGCAAAAGCTACAGAAGTTCAAAGACTGGTCACTGAAGCAACTTTAGCCTTTTGAAGTGTTGAATTCACTTTGAAGAGGAAGACCAAACATTGCACTTGTACCTGAAAGGTGAGTTGGAGATCCAAAGCCTGGGATTTTCATGAAACCTTCATGAATTCATGCCCAGCTCCAGCATGCAAGTCTCTCAGAAATTAACAGAACAAAAACAGAGGGAGCTCCCCTGAGCTGTGGAACCTGGCACCACAGCTGCTCAGCAGCAGTCCCACCCATGTGGCAGGCAGTCCTCTCAGATATTTTTTGAAGTTTTATTCTTCAATCTGATACTTTGCAGTGAAGCATAATTTTTTACTGTCTAGAAATTTGTTTTTTCACATTCCTCCCCTGAAGCAATGTCATCCATTAAATGTGTAACTGTGCCAATGGCAGAGTAGTGTTAAACAATTGTTTAACTATTATAATAGTTATATATAGTTACATATATAACTATTATAACTAAATGGTAATTTTAAGAGGAAATAATTCTTCTCAGTAAGTTTGTATCATAGTTAAAAGGAAAACAGGTTCCAAGTACTCAGAAACCTGAAGAGTTAGCTTACCTTCAAATTTCACCAATTTTAATCCCTTCCCCTCCTCTATCATTCCAGAAAACACAAGTCTGGTTTCAGAAAATACAAGTCTGGTTTTGCTATTCAGAACATTCGTATCTCCTCTGGTCTTTCAGAGGCTACAGAGTGCTGCACATCCTCCACCAGGAGTGATCTGGTGCCTCCAACAAAGCAGTAAGCAAGAAGTTCAAAATCCTTGCTGCATTATTTGTTTCTGTCCAGAACAACTTTAAGTAAAAAAACCTAAACCTGAATGCCCTATCTTCCACGCTTTGCCAGTCTGCTCAAGCAGCTAAAGCACAAGCAGAAAAAAATGGAGAAAAGCTGTTAAGCTAGCTGTCAATTACTTGTACTGCTGCAGGACAAAAAGCAAACAAGAACTGCTAGCACTTGTGCAAGCTCTGTGGAAAAGAAAGCTAGTTCTATTTTACAGATATACATAGTGATAACATAACCAGGGCATACAAGAGTTACTCAAAGATTTGAGTTCTACTCCTAACTTTGTTTCTAAGACTTGACAAGTTACTTTGTCTCTCTGTTTCTGATCTGCACTACAAAACAAAATGTATTATTTTGTGCTCTTTTGTTTACAGTTTTGAAATTTATTTACAACAGAGTGATGAGTTTAATATCCTAAGTGAGTTATTTCAGGAGAAAAAGCAGATCTCAGAAGAGTACAGAAAGGTATACATGCTTGTCATAATGAATTTGTAGATAGGATCACAAGAGCAAAAGTAGGCACACGTAACCTGATGCGTACACTGCCCTTTCAAACAGAGGATGTGTACACAGCCATCTTATTCCGAGGCTGCTACCTTAATGAGAAAAATCCTAACATAAATATCCTGCTAGAGCCACAATGCATTTTAATATTTTAAATGAGCAGTTTTGACTTGAGAGCTCTGTAGACAAACATTTATCATTCAGCTGTACAATCACACTATGAACTGTCAACTCCTCATCTCTGTCCATTTTGACAAATTACTCTTGCAGCAGCATTTCCAGTTATCCTTAGTAGCCAACACACCTCATAAATCCACATCATTGTAGTGTTATTAGAATTTCATTTCATGCTTGCATTTGCAAGCATTTAAGCTTTCAAGCTCTGCTGCTGGGCATTAATCATGGAATTAATCATAGGATTAACACCAAATTTAAACTCACGGTTAATAACATGCTCAACCAATATTAGTTTTACATTCTGTCACAGGGACAAAACTTAAATAGATAAATATAAGATCTTTGTCTGAAGTTTCCAAATAAACACACAGATGAAGGTATTTATTGCATTCTTGTTCCATTATGAAACAAGAAGTTGCTCAAATTCTACATTTCTTCTTAAAGAAAAATTCACATCCCTACACTCTTGAAAAACCATTTGGCCTCCATAAGCTGAAGTCTGTACATTAGAAAAAACAATGCATCCTTTATATCACCTTGGCTTAAAGTTTATAGAAATACTATGAATCCCCTAAAATATGTTGGCTAGCAGATTAGACAACAAAAATGGACAAAAAATTCACAAAGTTCTAGAAGTATAATATCTATAAGAGCACTTGATGCAATCTTATGCACACAGTTAATGCAATTTAGAAAATATTTCAATATAGACTAGCTTATTTCACAGCATTCTAAGAAGTGACACCTAATTAATCCTCTTATTCCATTTACCAACTAGAAGATGTATTTCATTCACCAGCAAGATGAGAATGGCTTCTTCATGCCTCTTCCTGCTAGCTGCGAACTTAGAAGCAAAAAAGCCAACGGCTCATAGCATTTCCTAAACAAATAGGTGAACTGCTATTTACTAAAACAATTTTTCAGCCAAAAGGTTTAACGTTTACTAACATACATGATGTTTAACATTACCAAGTAATACATTTCCTGAATGCAGAGCTTTAAGTGGTAACTTTTCTCTGCTTCACCAACATCCTGAAAGTTTGATTCAAAGTTTCCCTAAGAGTCTTAAAAAGTTTCAGCTGAACAAAAGAATTTGAATCCAACTTCCACTGTCATAACTGAGTTCCAGATCAGAAAACTGTTAGTGTACTCATCCCTATAGACTTGGAAGTTTATTTCAGGAAGGTACTATGTATTTGGCATACTAACATATGAGTACAATGGTCCTGATGCAAGACATAAGGTCCCGGCTACTGGAACAGTAACAGCTACCACTTGCAATAAAAATTGAAGAACAAGACTGGGGCAAGAAAAAGTTCACAACTTGCACCATACCTTCAGAATTTTCATTTGTATGTGAAAGAACAAGTGCTTATGTATATAGGAAGATATCATGTTTCTAACACAGTTACATCATGCTATCTAACATGAAGCTCTATACTCAGCATCCTTTTTGGAAAGCTGAAGCACTTCATTTAGGACTGGAAGAAAACAGCAATGAAAATGATGCACCTGAATGGTGGTTATCTGCATCTGTACAAGCAAAATTGACATTCTGAAATATAAGATGCATCAGGATCAACATCTACTCACATTTCACCATGAGGATGAGCTGAAATATCAATTACGAAAAAGACTAACAGCATCAGAGTTTTCAAAACTGATGATCAGAGAAGATTGTCACAGAAAATACTGTCACAAAGATATAAAATACTTAATTTGTCATTTAAGAGCATCAGATTCTCACATTCGGTTGACAGGTACCCTCACTTCTAAGATACATCTGCATTAAAAACATGAAGCACCAGCTGGCTGACAGTACACTGCAACTTCGTAATACTGATACAAATGCAACTTCACTAAAACATAACCTTTCAGTAGAAACTTAGATCAACTTCAGATGATTATGAAACTGTACATTCCACTTCTATAATAAATAAAGTAAATAAAACAGTAATCCTGTGACTTCTCCATCCTAGCTCCACAGCCCATAAATTAACACAAAGTGCTAGCACTGGAGTGAGTCAAACTTGCAGGTAAAGGCAGCATGTTTTATTCCTTTGGATAGGTGTTTAGATATACATATAACCACTACTTCTGCTTAAAGCAATGCCTTGAGAAGTTCAGCTACCATTAAATGAGTAACTAAACAATCTGCTTTCACTACAATCGAGTTACTTACACAAAAGACTTAGTGTTGTAATCTCAGATACAGAATTTAAGAACTCAACCTATTTCCCCCCAAATCTTGCAGTAGCTACACAATTAAAGCAATTTCACAGTTCTACAACCACATCAGTTCTCCAACTTGTCTACAGGTAGAAATTCACCATGTTTCTATAGTATTACCCAGAACCATTGCTGTAAGTTAGCAAAATTTTACTAATAAGAAGGAAAAGGTCAAGTGACTAAATACACCTGATTGTTTCTGGCACATACACCACAAGCTGGTAACTGAGCCCACAGAAAAACTCAATAAAATTTCACCTCGGAGAACAAATATTATTCAGGAAACAGGAAATCCTTGAGAAACAAGCAAACCAACAAAGTTTAAGGGCAAGCCCCCTACTCAGCTGCATACAAAACTAGGACAGACACCAAAAATTTTACCAACATCATCTGCAAATTCACTTGAAAATAATGACTTTTGGGGGTTATTATTTTCTGTTAATAGCTTCCACCTTGTTTCACTTTCCAAATTTCACATTCCAAACAATTCCCCTAATATTCCTGTCTATTGCTACCTCAGGAGCTACACAGAAAATAACAGAAAAAGTATTCAAATGTGAAGATCTATGATAAAGCTTCATTCTTCAGTTACACAGGATGTCTAGTGAAAACTCACTGAACAGTCACTGTTTACACCAATTCAGTTATAAATATTAAGATTCTCCATGTTAGAAACACCTGGAGGATCTAAGAAAAATAGCAACACTTTTCTTAATAATTCTGTTCTAATTGTTTTCTGAAGAAAAGCATGATTTGTTTTGAGAAATTGCTTGCAAATAGTTTCCAAAAACTACGGAGGCATCTAATGTTCCCCTTAAATGGACAAAAAAATTACTGACCTCACTGAGGTAAATAAAAAAGGAGCATGTGGACCCATCTACACCATAACTTGCATAACAGGGATCCGATCGCCACATATCTTTCATCCACTGAAACAAAACAAAGATACAGTCTGTTAGGGTTAAGCACCACATAATAACTCTAAATTACACTATTTCACACTGAAGTCAAAAATAACAGAGGAAAGCTGTGAGTCACTATATCCAAACAAACAAAAATGTCAAATAACCAAAAGGAAGTTTAGGAATATTTTGCAGCATGCTGCATGTCAGCATTTAACTACACTGGGGAAGTAATTACATACCAAATTTGAGTATGGTTTATACAAAGTGATAACCACGCAAACAGAAGCAAATATCAAAAAGAAAATATATTCAAGGATTCACACATGTGGGTGTGGCTGGAGTTGACTCCTATTGCCCTGTTACAGCTGCTCTGGAATGTAACAGGCTGTCTGAATTACAAAGATTGGAATCTGCCTGATTCTGGCAAGAATCTGACATTTCTGAAGCAGCAAATGATTCATTTACAGTCTTATTTTAGCAGTCAAATGATGTATTACATAGCCACTTCGCAGCCAGTATGTGAAAATGGACCAGAACACAGGCCAGAGAATCAATGGTTAGAGATTATCTTCAAAAAAAATTAAAAACTGAAACCCTCCCCCCCCCCCCCAAAAAAAAAAAAAAAAAAAATGAGTCAAAGAGTTTTTATTTACAGAAAAAAAAAGTAACAAAACTCTGCATGGAATTCTCCAGTTGTGTACACCTTCAGTAAATAAGTAATACTGGTAATTATATGTGAACATCCAGCAATTTTCCTTTTAGTCCAACTATTAACCACAGTCTCCTTACATTTGTTGACATATTTGGGAAAAAAAAAAGGTCAATTTTAGTAAGGTTATTTTTCTTTTCCAGTGGATGTCTGATGATTTTCCACGTTTAGTCTTTCCAACTGCAATACTAGTAAAATGTATGATTTACAGAGAATTAGATGTATATCCTCAAACCAGAATGGAATGATCTTGTTTTATTTACATTTATTTTTAACTATTTTTTTAAAGCTTTCCATCTAAATGAAGTTTTAGGGTGAATTGATAGATGTCATCATCATGAACAAGAAAATGGCTTTCTGTTTGGAAATGGAACAACTTCTCTGCTGGGAGCCTAAGTTCTAAGTTCTGTAGTGACGTGTGCTCCTAAACATCATCTTTTTGACTCAACTTTTCTTCCTTTACACCACTGAGTAGTGACTTCTTGCAACAGATATTCAGTTTTTAACAAAATAAATGTAACAAATTAAAAACAGCTCACAGTTACCTTTATTTTCCCTTCACAGTGAGGAAAACCATCCATAGGAGGCAATTCACACTGTTCTTGGGCTCCATTTATGAGATCTAAAGAGAAACAGACCACAACTGAATTTCATTTCACAGTTCTAACAGCCTAATGAATCCCTCCTTTTAAGAATCCACATCCAGACACAGCTGAAGAATCTTACTATGTAGCATTTGTTATAACATTAAAACTCAGAAGACGGCTCCTTTACTCATCCTTACTACATTACTACATTATCTGTTTTGAACTACAGTTGGAAACAGAGTAAACATCCTCGTAAGCTATCAGAAGTGTAGGGTACGGCACTATTTCCCAGCATGTGTAGCTCAGTGTGCCCATACTGCCAAACAAGCTTATTCCTGCTTTGTTCCCAGGCTTCCACCATCCTTGTTACTGTTAGAGCTTTCTCCTTTGACTGGAACCAGATGTGAGTATATCTTATGTATTCCACGGAAATGTGGGACCATCTCAAGCAGGTACCAGCAATGCATACTTTCAGATAGATTACAAAGAGAGCACGAAGCAAATGGAACAGTGGGGATGCTTATCTACACATCTTGATCTTCCAAATCTAGATAGAAGTAATGGGTTGTTTCCAACGTGGAAAAACACACCATTACGTCTGATATAAATGCTATTTTTGATGAAAAACAGTATTTAAGAAATGACTTAGATTTTTATCCTGAATTAGGATTCATAGCAATTAAAATGCGAATTACAAGGCCTCTTTCCAGCCAAAGCTTGGAACTTCAAGCCAACAGTTAGAAACACAAGAACAGTCAAATCAGTACAGAACAATACTAGATAAGACAATTCTTTCTCATAATCTTTGAGTCATGACATTAATTTCCATTCCACAGACTCTGAGGTGTTTCGAACCCAACTTAATTCTTACTGACAGGGAATTATTAAGCATGCCCCTAACACATTAGTACATTGAAAGTCGATGGATTGACAAACTGAAAACAAGAATGTGAGCACATTACAAATCTATGAGCTCACGGATGCTTTTTAACGCAGCGCTCTATTAAATGAGGTCCTGAGACACTCAATACATCACTGCAAATCCATCCTGATGTTCAGACAGCAGCCATGTGTTCACTTCGCAAATATCTGCAGCTGTTTAAAGATTAACAGCTCTGCATCAGAGATGGCTGGTGCACAGCAGGTGAAACTGAACTTGTGAACAACTATGAGTTATTTCAGTGCAAAGTCTGGCACGTTCACATGACTGACTTGGCAGATCTAAGCTAAGCCACCTGACCTTGCACCAGAAAAGGTACTTCTCCTTTGTTGCTGTGCATGAGTAAAGAGAGATTGGGTAAAGTCACACGCCTCTGACGTTGTGCTATTTGAACATCACTTCACAGGTACAGACCTTCATTGCTCTCACAACTAATCACAACGTCAGGAGTTGTTTGTTTTACTGAAGCTTCATAGCCCCCAAGAGAAAACTATGGCTCAAAGAGCAATCTGCAATAGGAAAATGATTTTTTGTTTGCTTGCTAATCACTCACTAATAGAACAGTAAAAAGCAGGATCAGCGAGTGCTACATACATGTTTTGTCCCTTTGCTACATGCACAGCCTTTAAAGGAAGAATTTTATGAGAGGCGTAAGAATTATTGTGCTGTTCTTTCTGTCATACAGTTAGAAAGACTGGAAACAATTCATAAAGATAGCAAGCTTAATAATAGATACAATTAATAGAAACGAAGACTCAAAAGAATAGTTATTGAATAGTGACTATTACTTGGTAGGTATTTCATTTGTCATAAGTTTTAAAATAGTTCTATTAGTTAAAACAAATAAAAAAGCCACAATAGTACTGAACTTGCAGACTGTGATACCAGCAGCCTCTCTTCATTCTTCAGAGAATACAAACATCTAAAGAATTTAACATGACACAGAAGCTTGTACACTTAGGAATACTAAGGCCCAAACCCTCATTCCTAGACTAGAGCAAAAAAAAAAAAAAAAAAAAAGCATATAAAAAATCCCATGATTATCTCTAGCACAGATAATGCTTCAACTCAAAGCATTCCTATCAGTTTTCACAAAAGCAGAATTCTCCTTAGTATCAAAAGGACAGAGTAATCATCTCTCTTTTTTCTGCTTTTGATCAATCAATAAATGTATTATTCTTACTTCAATTCACGTAATCTTCTTTTCGCTTCTATGTCTGTCCAGAAATCTGGCATTTAAAATTAGAAGCAACACTGCAGTTAAAGGTTTTTTGTTTGTGCAAGATCTCCCTTTCCTTCTCCTCTAATTAACACATTCTGAATTTAACTCATATTTTCCTCTCCAGCTGGTAAGAGAGAGAATTTGCAGTGTGAGCTGAAAGAACTATCAATGCATTCAAAGAAATCAACGAAAGGTTACAATAATTTTAAATGCAGAGCACAAAATGCTTCCTACTAACATTTTAGAATCTTCAGTAGCAAAAGCATTGGTATGATTTAGAGAAAATTAACTTTCCTACTGCTAGTCCATCCTCACACCAGCTGTGCTGCTGTGTTCCATTAACACTACTGAAATCGATGCAATGTTAGGAAATTTCAAGTAGCAGTCAAGTGGTTAATCAAAATGCAGCCCAGGGGACCACTAACAGCCCCTTTCAGCATTACTAATACAGCTTAGCACTGCAGTGGAAAATAGTCATGTGTGGTCCTCTGCACAGTCATTACACTGTGCTGTAATGGTGAGGCTTGAAAACACAATTCTCCTTAGCTCCATGTGCTGTTGGATTTGCAGGAAGCAAACTGACAGAAAAGTGGGAAAAGCTGCTTGCTATTATACGTTGTGTGAAAAAAGAATACAGTGGATAAGGCACAATAAATATGAGTCTAAGCAAAGCATTACCTCAAGAAAGCTATAATCTTGGCTATAAGAATCAGTGCAGCCCACATCCTATTACATCCGGTACACCATGATGTTTTGTGAGGACTAGTTTGGTTTTCAGTGCAGCACCATGGATAATATCGTACCTGCTATTTTAACTGAAGAAAAGCCCTCTGTGGTGCTCTCAAGAGGACAGCATTGGAAATTCAGAACAACAAGCAATACTTGGGCTTTTTTTTTTTTTTTTTTTTTAAGTTTGTCTCTGCAAGCACAGAACTATGGGATAAGGTAGAGTTACAGACAGTTAAACAAACCTCTCCTGTGCATAACGAAGTTCACTGGAAAGAGCCATAGAAATAAATCAACTGATCATGAAGTTATCCGATTCTTCCTTCCCACCTAGAAGCCTTCAGCACGTCACCCCAAAGCACGCAGGATGAAGTGCATGGAAACACAAAGACAAACATTCTTTTCACCATAGTAACATTAAATAAAAATGCCTGTTTTCAGCATTGCTGAAACTGACTTGTCAGTCTGCCTTGTTACATGTTCACAAAGGTGCCAGATATCTGACAGGCATCCATGCCATCATCTCTTAGATGACAAATACTGAAGTCTGCAGCCAAATTAGTCTTAACATCTTTCAAGTCACTCAAGTTGTTAAAGAGAATTCAACAGCCTATACATCAGAACATGCTCATGCATAAGCTAGAAATGCTCTGGAAGCTATGAATAGATACAGTGAAAATATTCTCCTTTTTTGAGTAGTGCAAGAGCTCTGCAAGAACCAACCATGTTCAAAGGGGAAGTAGGGGGGAATTCGACATTAACCTTCATTTGCTATTTTTATGGGATCAAAGACACACTTAAGATCTTCCTAAGTCATTTTTCAATGCAAAAGAACACTTTGTAAACAACCAGACCGGCACAGCTTTCAGTGCTATTATACCATCTAAGATAGTGACAATTACAGAAAACATTTGTTCTTTTACTGAACATGCATAGAAGTCCAGCAAGGACAATGGTTGCAGAGTACCTTCACCCTTACTTCAAGTCAATAGCTTTATTTTAAAAAATGTTTTGTAGCATGCATATTCATTATTAATACCATTATTGTTTAGCAGCACTCTAAAGAATGAGGAATTGTAACAGTTTCCTTAAATTAGACTCAGCTATCTGAAGTACAGAGCAAGGGTTCACAGCTAAAAACAAAACCTACATCACACAAAACTCGCATACTGCTTATCAGAAAAAAATCCCATGAAGAAAATAGGGCAGACTTTTTGATTATTTTTGTGCAGGGAGATTGTCTTATGTGATAAAATATGCTTAGTGGAATTCTATCCTACAAAGCCATCAAGCTGAACGACAGTTTATCATAGAAAAGCCCTAATGTCAAAAACCAAACTGCCTAAAAGAAGTTGATCTTCTGCCTGTCACATAGATCCAACCACTCAGCTGCAACAGAAGCTGCACTGTGGAGAAGCTCTGCTTGAAAGTGCAATGATTTCACATTTATCCATTTCTATTTTATCTATTATAATTATATTATATATTATTATAATATCTATTTCTATTTTATCTATTACTCTTCCATAAATCTGAGATTCTGAAAAGGCAGTTGAAAATTGTCAGGGTCAAATCAACAAGCTTGCTTGACATTTTTGAGGAAGGAAGAAGAACAAGGAAAGCATGCTTGTAATTTTGCACAAGGACCTAAGAAGGGGGAAAAAAAAGGAATACAAACTCCTGCACAATCTGCTACACAGCTTCGCTTTTTAACATCATCCATGCAGTCCATCAGCTCACGTCATCCTCAAGTAGAGATCCCATGCTCAACTCCTTTTGGATTAGGATTAAAAATATTTGAGACAGAAAGAGCTCCTGCTTCATTATCCTCTCAAACCAAAAGAAAAAAGAAACTAGTTTGCTCCTAGAATCATGGTATTACTCAGGTTGGAAGAGCCCACTAAGATCATTTAAGTCCAATCATCAAACCTGACTTCTCAACGAAAGATTCTACAAAATTAAAAGGAAGAAACCAGATCTAGCAACACACTACAAATAATAATCCTAAACAAGATATAGATGTGAATAGTCAGGACATTCTACATGTAAGTAAACAACATAAGTTGTCTAAAAATCCAAAGGGGAAGAGAGAGATTCTGGTCTCTAAATTTAGAGAACTGAAGAATGAATCAAACATAAGCTTGAATTTACCTACTTCAGAGGGAGCCAAGCTACAGTCCTTGCTAAATCCTCAACATTTCCTCCCACCGTTACCACCTTCTTATCATGAAGTATAATCCAGATGGATTTTCCTCAGATCATTTAACATGCCAAGAACTTCACACATCACTACAAAGTGATATCTTCTGCTGCAGATTTCAGCACTGCTGTCTCAATTCTACAGCACATTTGACAGCCAGAGGTGGAACAATGAAAAAAAGCAAAACAAAAACAATAGAACACAACTACATTTCTCTATGCCTTGCCAAATAGAGAGCACAACTGATAAGAGACTTTCAGAAAGTGATGAATTGCTAATTCCACATGGCCCCTAGATTTTAAATCCTCAGTGCTATTCCTAAGTTGTTTGTACATCTGCCCCAAAGCACAGTTATAAATATTGTTCAAAGCATACATTTTACTTGTGTTAAATAATGTCCAAATAGCAGCCTATCTTGGGTTTAAGCATGATAATGAGACTGCTGTACTAAAACTCATGGGCTCTGTGCCAAGTAATATCTATCACACAAATTTAGGCTCCTGTGGTCAAAGCATGGGCTAAAGGACTGATCAAAACTGTTTTAGGAAGCCACAAACAATTCTATTGGGCTGCTGTTACAAGAGATCAAGAGCCACCAAGGGTGCTGCTAGGCAGATTTAATTCAGGTTCTGGTTATATTACTTACCTATCTTTATTTTAGGATTAGTGTTCAAAACTGCATTCTTTCTCCTTCATTGACAGGCTCCTTCACAGAAAGCATTGCTCAATCCTTTATGAGGTAACGATAATTTTATGATGTAATTTATCATTTTTTGCATAATACACCAAGTTGTAAATCCTCCCAGTTCAACAACCATCTGGACCTCTGGACTCTGTGGCTCACATTATCTAACATTAGATACACAGGCTACATTGTTTGTTGAACACTGGTTTATTGTATTTTATATTGAATCTTTGTTGCCAAGATACTGGATGTTTTATCTCTTCCTAAACAAATTCACCTACTTCGTCATTTTCACACTCATACTATCACTTACTTTCCAAGAAAACCTAAGGAAGAAGCTGATAAAAGCTCAATATGACCTTCAGTTGCCCTTCAAATAACCTCATAGAGTAGTTCCAGTTGTTTTAAAAGTAGCTACAAAAAGCAGCAAGATTATGTATTAGGTCTCTCCTCATTTATATGATTCAGATGACCTTTTCTGTCTGTTTCTTCATATTTGAGGCTGTAAGATCTGTGTACGCCTTTATTAACCCTGTCATAGAAGAGTTATAGGCACCTGCTGCCCACTAACAAACACTGCAGAGCTGTTCAGGCACCTGCTGGGACCATTCAATATCCGGATATGTATACCCACAAAAGAATATTAGAAAAGCACATAGAAAATTTGTAGGGCTTTTTTTTTTCCCCACTAGAAAGATGACAGATTCAACATCAAGAGAACGTGGTAACTTCACCTTACATGTAGTGCATTAGAAGCAACCCTGCAAGTTTCTCAGTTACACGTAAGAACTTTCCTGGAGCAACAGATATCTTACAGTCAACAGGTGTATGGGCAAAATTAAATATCCTCTGATCTCAGCTCTTTGAGAAACACTGCAGCGGGTTTAAACAAGACGATTTTTCAACTACTTCTTCAGCAACTGCAACTGGCAACTATTTCTCAAAACACGTCCTCTTCAGCACTGTGTGGACTACTCACATACTCAAACACAAACTTGCATCTAGGCTAAAAAACAGGAGGAAGACAAACATACATTTTAATACGATGAATGGAATTCTATTTCTGTACTGCCATTCTGGTTGTCTGTATGGACATTGTGGAAAATTCAAAAAAAAAAAAAGGAATTCCAATGTGGTCCAATTGGCAGTGCCTTAATCTGCCTTAATATACGGAGTTGTGCAATCCATAAATCTGAGTCATAGCTACATTCTTGTCATGTTTATTGCAGTCTGATAAAATCAACTAAAAAAAAACCTAGACTAATTCTAGTTACTGGACTCAGAAACTAAACTGGAATACTTCCATTCTCATGCTCCTCTGCCCAGCATTTAAAAACTTACAATTGTTCTTGCAATTGTTTTCTGAATTTCAGGCATGTACCTTAAAAAAAAAAAAGATACCACTTGAGGACAGGCTTTGGAAGGAGAAATGCCCACTAATCATTTTTCTGTTCCTCCCAGATTGCAGATAAAAAAAAAAAAGTCTTTTTTATTTTCTAAATTAATGAATGTGTTAGCAATACGTAAGATCAGCAATTGCAACATTTATTTACTAAGTTTATTTTTGGAATTCCATGCAGTAACTTCTAGAGCTTGTTACTTTCAGGAAACGACTGTGAAGACAGAAGTAGAAACAAAATTTTCACTTCCATTTGGAAGTGCCTCCGCTTTTTGCTTCAAGTGGACAAATACAAGCACTTTAACTAGCAAACACACAAGGATAAGCCATCAGTGCTACCCATCCTGGAGATACCTGAACAGTGACATCATCCAAACAGGCACCAGAACAATATATAATCAAAACTTAAGTAGCTGTCTCTTAAAAGTTTTTCTGCTCTTGCTATTCACTACAGATACTTCAGACATTTCAAACGTAGGGCATCAAAAGTCAAAACTCAAAACTCTAAAACAGCAAATAGTGCTCTCTGCCACAGACCAAGCCCCAGGCAACAAAAAGCTACATAGATACACAAGTCTGAGAACTTCTACCAAGCTTCTTAAAATTTGCTTGTGAGTATCAAAACTGTGATAGTTGTCGACTACAAAAACAACCAAATTCATTTGTCCTAAGCACTGATTAAATGTGTTTTCTGGTCAGACAAAATTCATGGTTCTTTCCTTACAAATGAGGAAGCAATAACAAGAGTTTACTTCTATCACTTATCTTCAAATCTACTGAAATAACAGCATCAAATCTCTCTGTTGTCAAACTATAAAAGGTAAAATTAAAAATGACCTTGGATGATTATTTATAATTTTGAATCTATAGCAATATTATACTAGCTTGCATTCTGACGATTAAGACGTAGTGGTGTATTCCTTGTACTAGCAACATGGTTTACTCTGACAGCACTCTCCAAGTGCGATATTTCTTCAGTTTCTAATCTGTCTTCAGCCTAATGAAGACTGAAGACTTGGGAAAAAATAGTTACTGCAAGGTAAACAGTAGTATAAAATGAATGCAAAGGGCTTGCTAAATTCCTATAAGCGTACTTCTACATTATTTGGCAAATGAGACAGAGAAGACCTCTCTCACTGAGAGACAGTAGGTGTTGAATATCCTACTATGAACAGAATAGGATAGAGAAGTGAACATTTAGGTCTGCTGGCATGCTTTAATCATGTCATCATTTCACAACCACTCTCCCTGACGTCCTGACAGTGGCACTTCCTACCAAAGCTTACATCTACTCCATTTTACAATATCTGAACACAATCCCTCAAGATTAGTATTTATTTTGCTAGGAAAGCCAAGTGCAGGCAAGACTTATGTTGGCCTGACTTCTAACATATAATCACTTTAAGCTATGAAATATTTACTAGTAATGAAGTAGATTATCCCTGTCTGGCAGAGAACACCATTTTCTGCAAGTTACCACAGAAAGTCTTCTCTGAGCTTGTAAAAGATCAGTGCTATTGAGTGCAATTGACTTGGCTTAGACTTTTGAATTTTGCTTTGTAAGACATTTCAAATACCTGCAACTGAAAAAACACACAGCATAGAGACAGAAAATACAGATTTTGCTATACCCACCTGCTACATTAAGCTTTTCGACTGCTCCTAAGCTGGGAGCTGGAGTGGTAGTATTGTTGGTAGAGTTTGCTCCTGTTCCATTAAGTACAAGATTTTCCACTTTGGACTCCAGTTTCCCAATACGCTGCAAGATATTATCCAGCAAGACTGCAAGTGTTTTCTTCAAATCTACAAATGAAAAGTTAGACTGCTTAATAACGAATGCATGCTATCAAAAATAGATATGAGATTGAGACTGGAATATACACACACACACACACTTTATCAGTGCACTATTGCTCCCTATTTTGCTTGGCCTTAGACACAAGCTTTCCGTGATGTGTAACTGGTCTTTCTATGCACTTTATAAAGCACACTACAACTCACAGATGTATCCTACATTCAAGGAGAAACATGAATGTAAGTGGGATAAAAACAGGAAAATCAGAAAAAAAAAAAACATGTTTTCTGATAGTTCAAGTAAAAATAAGTTACTTAAACAGCAATGAACGTCTGCATTTTACTTATAAGCACCCATCATCTGCCTTCAGGTGTCATTCTGGAGCTCTATATAAACAAACATCTTCACTTTACCTAAAGACACACCATACCCTCTCTGATTGGAATGTCCTAAGAAAAACAAAAGAACTTGACTCTACTGCAAAAGCACATCCCAAATCATTCAGTTTTTGCAAAACTGCCCATCCAATCTACAAAAATCAGCTGGACATTTCAAATTAAGCATCAAGTAGAAAGGAAAAAAGAGAAATGAAGGACAAAGTACTTTCATTTAAAAGTTTAATTTAAAATTAGATTTGACTGAGATACTGGACCTGGAAGTCTTTGCTGTATTACCCAACTATTTCAATAACAAGACCCAAATCCATAATAAAGAGCTCTTAGAGGAACAGAATCCAACATTCTGTCAGATTCTCAGTCACTTGGAAAATAAATTTCCATTTCCAAAAGAAGGGAAAGCTTTGAATCAGTACAGAAACCTCCTGCCTCTCTTCCACCACAACCAGCTTTTACACTGGCAGAGTGTTGAAATGTACAAAACACCATAAAATCACTTGTTTCTTCAGTCCGTGACCGTGTCTACTTATCTGTTTGATCAGATGTAGCATTTCCATGTGCAAGGAAACCAACAAAGGGTATTTGGAGTTTGCCTATCATATAACAACCCCAAAAGTGTTTCATGATTTTTTTTTCTTTTCTGTTTTTTTCTCTTCAGTTTTCTCAAGGTAACGCAAACACTTGGGTAAACTAGAAGAATTACAGGCAAGAGGAAAAAAAACCGACCACTATCATGTTAAACGTTTATAATTCAAGTGGCAATAAGCCAAATAAGATGAAAGTATTGTTCTTTGTTCACTTACCCTTGTCTCAGGATTAAGGAATTTGGTATGATGAATTTACATTATTTTCCCACATAATTACATATATATACACGTATAATACCCCTTCTGCTTTCCACAAATTCAGAATCAGATAACTTTCTGATCTGTAAAAGAAAATTCCTCCATACACTTGCAGAGATTAATCTGTCCCAACATCAGCTGTTGTTTTGCCATTCTTTGAACTTTTTCTTAGGAGCAGCTCAAATCTTATGCAAATGTGAGAGTAAATAAAGGAAGGCCGTTACACTTGGAAAGCTTATGATTATTTTCTCCTAATATAAAGAAGTCCATTCTATTCAGTGAAGCCATAAAGATTTTTTTTTTTTTGTAATTGTGTTTTCTTTAGTCTGCTGAAGACTGGAATCTTATGTGCTAATAACATGGACTGTCTTGATATAATTTTAAATATTGGCATGGTGCAACACAGTGAAGGATAAAAGAAGCATTTATGAAAATGTGATGTTTCTCAATGGGAATGCAGAACACACTTAGTGGTAAGTCTGCAGAAGGAAAGAGTTGAACAGGGATTTAACACCAACAAAAACATGGAATAGAGGAAGAAAATCCAGGAACAATGGTAGAGTGGAATATTCAGAAAAAAAAGAGGAAGAAACATAGTACACAAAGGCATACACAAAGAATCAAGAGAAAAACAGCTAACATTGTCAACTTTTCATAGTAATACCAAAACATTGATATAAGACGCTTCTTGTCAGAACAAAAAAGCAGTTGGAGGCCAATTTGAGAAAGAGATGGCCAAAGCAGAGATTCAAATTAATTTTTGTGAAACATTTACTACTATAAAAATCCAATACTTAGTGTACGTTTGAAGTACAACTTTTTTAAAGAATGTGTTTGATCCGCTGATCTGACAGGCCAATATAAAGTAGAAAGAAAAGAGAGAAAGCAAAGAAGCTGTGCGATCCAAATTGATGAATGACTACACAACCTTTGAGTGGGTAAGAGCGGCCAAAGCAAGCAAACTTAGTGCTTACTCCTGAAAACAGGAATATGACTGTGCTCACTAATAGCAATCAGAGGATAAGATTGAAAGAAATAAAAGGCTAAAAATCAAGAGCATATCCTGCGCACTCAGACCTAGCCAGGGCTCTTTTGGTTGGCAATCCTGTGTGAGGCTGGGGGAGACAGAGGGAGTCTTGAAATCAGGTGATTTTGAGGTCCTCTCTAACCCGAGTCATTCTGCGACTCTGTAAGAGCAGTTGTCATAGAATAACAAAGCAGCTTCTACCCATTACCATGAGACAGTAATGTGTCTATTCCTAAACAACTAATCTGATAATTTGCTATCAACAAATCATCTGGTGTGCCAAGGAGTGACTAACTGGCTATACTACTCAATTTAATACAGTATTATATAATCCAGTGCCATCCACTCATCACAGCATTTTTCCCACTGCATTTTTACACAACTTTACATACTTAAAATCAGTTTAATTTGAAAAACCTCGTCTAAACTCATCTTAAAACTAAACTAAATTCTTTTTCATTCAAAGACCTTGAAATTTCCATGCAAAATTTAGCTTTAACTTACAAAAATTTTACGGAGTTATTTCACGCACCTTCAAATGCCTTTAACTTTTCAAGTTTTTTCAAGTTCCTGGGAAACTTGACCATTGCTTGGCAGCAATTCAACTCGTTCCACAGCAGAATTTAGAACAGGAAATAAAAGTCACAGGTCAAAAACTGCAGGGAGAATTCAGATTAAGGATATCCTGTACACTCAGGCCTAGCCAGGGCTCAGATTAATGCAGTTACCCTTCAACTTCAGGAGAAAGATGAAGGTTTTTTGTTTTTATTTTTTTTTTCTTCATCAATCATCCTTACAAGATAACGGAACACTGATAATTGTTAAATAGCAAAGAGACAATTCACCAGCTGTTCAAGAGATGCTCCTTTCTCTCTACTCAGCAATGGTGAAGCCACATACGGAGTGCTCCCCAGCAGAGCACCAGCAAGTGATCAGTGGACAGGAGCATCTCTCCCATGAGGAGAAGCTGAGAGAACTGGGAGGACTGCTCACCCTAAAGAAGCAAAGGATCAGGAAGACTCTATCACAGTGTACAAATAACTGAGGCAGGTTGCAAAGAGGCCAGAAAAAGCTATTTTCAGAGGCGTCCAGGGCCAGGATAAGAGGCAATGTGCACAAACCGGAACACAAAAGGTTTCATCCAAGCATCAGAGAGCACTTCTGTGCTGTGTGGGTAACAAAGCACTGACACAGGTAGCCCAAATAGGTTGTGCAGCCTCCTCCTCGGAGATCTTCAACAGCCACCCGGATGCAGTCCTGGATATCCCACTCCAGATGCTGGGGCAGAGGTTGGAGAAGATGGGCCCAGAGATCCCTGCCAATCTCAAACATTCTGCAAGTCTGTGGAAGCCTTAAAGGACCTCTACTTGCTTGGAAGGTTTCAGTCCAAATATTTATCTAGAGCCACTCTATTTAGCTTGCACTGCTCCGTAAAATTACAATACCAGTATAGTTCAAAGTGCAAATACACATCAGTAGAAGTTATTGAAGAACTCAAGAATAGGGACTCCCTGTTAAATTTAATCAACAAAGCAATGTAATTGTTAGCTAGGTTACAATGGTACTCTCGGCCTTACTGGCAAGGACCTTTTCATAAACTCCAACATTCTTCTGTTCTTTTCAGAGTAAGAAGTGGTAACAGAAATGAGAAGTCATCCAGTACAGTATTTTCATTAATATGTTAATAAATATTATATTCATTTCAAAGAGAAATGAGTGAAAGAGAAGATGACAGAAAATGGTGCAAATATGATCTGCAGCATCCTAACCATCATTATTTTCTAATCCTACAAAAAACCTGATTTTTGATAGCAGAATATTATGATAACTTTAAAAGAAAACGGATCTAGATGACCGATTTTTTATTAATTATCCAGATAGTCTCAAAGTGCATGGGTAAATAGGAAAGAAAGTGAGCTTGAAAATAGCTAAAAGGTGTATGATGCGATTCTATCAGATTAGAAAGAAATCTCACCTCACGTCATATTACATTTTTGTTTTCATATTATTTTCTAAAAATGCTTCATTCACTATTACATGCTTTGCTTCATGCATACACACACACAAACTTAAGTGCCATCTTGTATGAAATGGACAAAAGGAAGTCCTACAGACTGCCAGACACAGCACTGAAATTCATGAAAAGAGCGTTCTCTACTTCAAGGTAAACATACTACACTTAAGCTTAGATTTAACCTTAGGACACACACAAAAGCTTAAATGTTAGGGAAATTGACTGGACATAAATGGAAAAGAGAAGATAAACAGAGCAGGCCTCCACTTCATCAGCAAAACAAGATATTCTTGTACAAGGATTCTGGCAACTCTGACAAGCCAACTGAAAAGTCTCCTAAGGTTCTCCCTAACAGCAAAACCACACATTTTTTAAAATCAAGTTCAAACACGTAACTTGAGGCATAACATATATGGCTACTAGACAGATGTAGGGAACAAAAAAGCAGATAATTTCATTTCCAAGTGACTGAAAATTTAAATTTTGTCCCGTTTCATAACTTACAAGAAAAAAATGTTCTCCTCCATCTGTACAGAAAACCTGCAGTATGAAGTACTGTCAATTGAGCAGCGTTACAAAGTACAACGTTTGGACATCTTAGAAAAGTCCTTGATCAGATTATCACGTAATCTAGAACACACACTTACCGTATGCTGTCACTGTTCCAACATAAGGTCCATCAACCACATTTTTATTTTCTTCAGCTAATGCTTTGATGTATCTTTTGCTGAGATCCAAAATTTGTTCACGCAGGACTGAACTGCTTTCGTGTTGTGTTTGCTGCTGAATAGTGAAATGCAGAAGCATCATTCCCCAAATAAAACCAAAAGTCACCAGAAAAAAGCCAAGTTTCTGAGAGGACAGCTTCCATGGAGAGAATGCCATGATTCCCAACAGCTTCTCACAGTTAGTACAAAGGTTCCTAAAGCACAAAGCCTAAGAGTAAGTTCATGGTCCAAGTATACGCAGATCACAGAGCAGTCAGGTCTTATTCCGACTCCTTAGTCAACATATGTCTGTATTTCAGCTCCATCCTGTTGCAAGAGGAAAGAAAAGTAGCAAAGTTAACACAAAATATTAGAAATTTTTATGAGCTACAGTAAGTCTTCATCATAACTAGTACTAAAAGATGTAGACAATATGCTTTTTTCCAACTCATTTGTATGCATCAATATTGTGCTGAGTTATTCAGAGCACAAACAAACAAAGAAAAGCACTGGAAACAGAACAAAGAAAAAGCGATGTGCCTGAGCAGGTGTAGAACACCTCTCAATATGTGGATCAAGTTCAATGCTTGAAGCTGTTTCCAATCTAAATTTCAAGACAAGGTTGCTTCAACGTATTTTTATTTTTCCTGTGTGTACACAAAACTTCATGATGTTGCCAATGCAGCAATTTAAGACGATTCCTAATGTAATTCAGTTCTCAGAAAACAAGTAATTTTAGCTGGCAATGACACTGTTAGGAGATCCTGGCAAGAGCTATGGCATATGGCTAGATAGATGATCAGGAAATCAGACTCCCTCAGGGGTAAAGAGCAAGAAAAAGAAAAAAAGAAATCTACATTATTTAAACCAATACACTCTCCTGGCTTACACAGCAAGTAGTCAGAAGGCTGGAATAATCTCTTCTTGCTCTTGTGTGGCCTCTGCCATGCATCGTTACTCCTTATTCATAAAATGTAATCCAATGAGTCTGCACTTTACAGCTAAATTCAAAACACGTATTACTTCTGAATGCTACAACACATCTTTTGTATCTAAAATTAATATTCTCAGTGCTTTTCCCACACTAAGGAAAAAAAGTTGGCCAGCTGCCTTCAAGAGAAACAGTAGGACCATCTTCTCACTGTAAACTCAAAGATAAAACCTAGCATAACGTATTCAAAGGCTCAGTGATGAGGGCCGGAGGCAGGGTCTTTAGCATAAAACCCTACCACAGAAGAAAGGTAATTTAAAGGTAATTAAGTGTAACCTATCGTGTTAAAACACAGATTTGGTAAAATGTGATCCTTTTAACTTCATAATGCTCCCAGACAGGGTTAGAAAATATAATGTTCTCTTCCATTCTGCACATGCACAGATAATGCAGATGTTGCTTTGTTTTAATAGGATAATTACACAGGTGCCTGCTGGCAGTACTCTGGTAAAATTCCCTTCAGATCTTCCCCTTTCAGTTCAACCAACAGTTCTGCAGTAGGACAGAAATGCCTTTGGACTACTCAACTTCCAACACAACTTGTGGGTGCACGTAGCATTACAGATTACTACTGATTGCCAAAATAATTGCGTTAGGCAGAAAACTAAAAGCAGAACAGAAAGTAACTGTAGCATACATTTATGCTGCTAAAAGAACAATCTGTAGCCATCTGTTGCTCAGGAAGAACAGCAAAGAAAAATTGAGACATCACTGAAAAACATTACAAGAGATTAAAACTGCTTTCCATAAACGTAAGTCAATTTCCCAAGACAACACAAACTTCACTTGTTGCAATTCACTTCGCTATAGTCTAGGGACACTCTTGGGCTGACTGCAAAGTAGAACGTTATCATTTTACTAAAAACTGAATGCTGTACTATTTTGCTTGCAACATCTGATGTGGAAAAAAAAAAAAAAAAGATGAATGATGAAAACAACATTGCAATTTCAAAAAGAAATCTGAAATATCCAACATAATTCCATCCGTGACTTGGTTTCATGAAAGAACTGACAGCATAACTCCATAACAGTAGGACCTGTAGTTAAAACACTCAGTATTTCTTATCCCCCATTATCAATTTTACATGAAGATGAAGACACTGAACAAGAAAGTAAACCTACCAGCCGACGTGTGCTAACAAGCTTTTTGTAATTAATTTAGGAGAAACCACAGTTAATACTAAAAACAGCAATTCAAAAAATGCAAGTATCATTTTTTATCTGGCGTGCATCTAACCTTATAAGCATTCTCTACATAAATAAAGCTGTTAACTTTCCTATTCTGTTCATCAACAAACAGGAAAAGAATCTTAAATACATTGAAAAAAATAAGAAGGTAGTCAGGAAATATTGAAGTTTTTCCATGAGAAAGAATCAAGATACTCTGGCAAAGGGAAGAATGGCCCCCACTACTTTGAGTCATAAAAAAGAAATCAGCTCTTATGGAAACATATCTGCATGTGCCTCTAAAGTGTAGCAGACTTCTTTCTTTTTACTTTTTAAAGCTTTGGAAAGAGGTGGTGTCACTCTAAGATAACTCTTGAAACAATTCCAGCACCTCTCCCAATATGTCCTAGTTGTTCAGTTTTATGTGAAAGTGATAGGAAGGTGATTCATCCTGATTTTCTGACAACACCTAATGTATCAAAACTAAAAGTCAAGTGAGAAAAACAAGATGAAAATGAAAAGATATACAAGACAAAAAAACCCACACTTTAATAAAAGATCAGTTTTGTTTTGTTCTTCCTTAAATTCAACTCCAACCATTCAAAATCTCATCATAACCAAATCAGCACACATTTTTTCCTTGTTTCAGATACATTTTATTTTCTCTTTTAAACAGATGAGTTCCACCCATTGCAATAAACATAACTCAAAATAGAACTGCCACTGCCCATAACACTCATAGTTAGCACATTTCTTTGGAATAAAGGGCTAACATTACACCCATTCTACACAGGTATAAGAGTTTCAATTATCTTAGTATTTTTAGTATTTCAGTTTCATTAAAGCACTTTTGTGGTCTATATTTAATAAGCCACTGTTTGACAGCTGGACAATTTATCAGTTAGAGAGGATAATACTACCATGCCACATTACCATCATCATAATCCCAAACTCCTCATATGCTATTCAGGATATCAGGAAACTAATACCAAAGTGACCCTGTGTATTGGAGATGCAAGCCACACATTTCTCAGCATTCTCAGCCTTAGTGTTAGAGGTGAGCTTGCTTTGTTTGAAAGCGTAAAATGCAGTACAAACTGTTAATGATCATGTGAACAGATTTTGATGTTCATCTACAGTACAGCTAGAAGAGATTAAGTAAAGTCTCTCTAGTATGTACCTATAGAAAGATTAAAGCTCTCTGTCCAATCTACAGCTATGTAAGGAATGAAGTCAAAGTAAGCCTGGAACTGCATTATCCTCAGCAAAGATTCCAGGGGAAATTCCACACTGTTCATCAACATCTCCACAGCTATAAAACCTTCATTGTTCGTAGCCAAAGCAGTAGCATAAAAGTA